TCATAAAGAACTGGACTCAGTTGACTATGTCTAGCATTAGAAACGCTTCCTTATAGAACACAAGTGAGTCAAGCCCATGACACTGAAGAATGTCATTAATATTCACTTATCCCCAACCCCCCTTATCTGGATTTTTTCCATCCAATGTTTCTGTTACCTTGTGCTTTAGACTCAGAGAGTGACCTATGACCCCACCACCCTCTACCACCCTGTTTCTCCTTGAGCTCCTTATTTGCATGTGAAACTTCCAGCAGGTGGCCACAGAGGGCCACGTTGGTACCATTTAACGTGGGCAACGCTTCCAGCTCCTCTTTCCCACATGGATGGATTGTACACTGTAGGCTAGAGGAAACAGGCACGGAAATGGGGAGACATCTCAGTAGCCTGGTTAGTTCTCCTCCACGAGTGCCTGAGAGAGGCCGTGGGGGAGGGGGGCTGGTTTGTGTGGGACCCCACTGCAAGTCCCCTCACCCTACAGGGGAGCAGAATCTGGCGGGCTGCGATCTGTAGAAGCCCATGCCTGTGGGTACCGGCGGAGGGACATTTCAGTCACAGGTCAGGAATTCTCTTTTCTTTTGGTAGTGGGTGGACTGAGCTGAGCCCTGGATCCCAGCTGGCCATTCCCCCTGCCACCCTGGGGGCCACAGTCTGAGGAGGCAGCCTCCCCCCTCCTGTGAGCCCCTACTATAGGACTTGTTCTCAAAGACCTATGAAACCCTTGTCCCTTTACCAAAATCCGTGTTCTGTTCTCCTGCAACAGACCTGTGAGAGACCTCCATTGATCTGTACTGGAAACGCCTTTCTGCATTTCCCAGGAGTCTCTTACAGGACAGCACAATTCCCAGCAGCTCTGCTCCATGATTGACAGTACTTCCAGTGCAGGGAGGGGCTGGGAGCTGTGCCTCTGAAGGGCCAGACAGTAAATATTCCAGGCTCTCCTGCTGGGTGACACTCAGCTGTGTGCTCAGGAAACTTTATTGATGGACCCTGGGATTTGGGTTCTCTATTATTTTCATGTTTTGCATATTCTTCATTTGTCCCCTCCACCAAACATTTAGAAAAATACAAAAATCAGTCTTAGTTCACAGGTGATGTGATAACAGGCAGGCAGCCAGATTCTGTTAGTAGGCGTGGCTTGCCAAATGTTTCTTAGAGTCAAAAAAGCCTGACATTTTCAGCCTTGGGGCCCAGGTTTGAGACCAGAATATATGAATGACTGACCTTGGAACCTTGAGGAAGTTACTCAGTTTGCTAAGAACCCTAGTTTTCCTTTTATAAAAAAGTAAATTATGCCAGGCATGGTGGTACATGCCTGGAATTCCGGCTGCTTGGGAGGCTGAAGCAAGAGGATCCTAAGTTCAAAGTCAGCCTCAGCCGTTTGGCAAGGCCCTAAGCAACTTAGCGAGACCCTATCTCAAAATAAAAAATAAAAAGGGGTGGGGATGTGGCTCAGTGATTAAATGCTCCTGGATTCACTCCCTGGTACCCCAAACAAACAAACAAAAGAGTAAATTATAATGCTCAACCTTTCGGATGGATTAGAATTGCAGGAGTCCTTGGGGTGAGTGCTCTGAGTTTGCCAGACGGTGTGGGGTGTTAACTGTACATGCTGTGCTTGGTTCAAATATTTAGTGGTTTCTGACATAGTTTTCCCTTCTGGATGATACTCTGCATCAAAACCCTCCAAGACCGGGCAGAAACAGTGGGAAGAGTGGTGGTCGACTCCATTTCAGATTAAAGGATCCGATTTTCTTAAACCCAGGTTGGCTGTGAAGTCTRGAAAGCAGGTATTATTTGACAGTGTGTAATATCAACGAATTGTCTATTGTACATATGTTGTCCATGTTTTCCAACTTTGCAGCCAACGGTGGGAAGGGAGTTGTGATAGAAGGTCATGCGTGCCATGGAGTTTCTTGTCCTCTACCTTCCCGACCCTTCTGACTCTCACTGAATATCACCCAAGTGGAGGAGGGAGAGACTGGGTCGACTCTCCCCATGAGCCATTCTGAAGTGACTTACTAGGAGCATTTTAAGTGTGTCCTCCAAGCTAATCAAACCACCTCGAGTTCTCCCCGTGAGCCGTGGAGTTTCCAAGGCTCTCTTACGCTCTTACGTTCCCATGTTTTATAAGCTGTTTCTGAATAACCCAAAGAGACTGACTCCAATCAATGAAATGTAAGAAGGGAAGGAGGTCTTGAGAGTGTGCCTCTGGAGCATGGAGAATTTAGGCTTTTCCATGAAATCATAAATAATCAGAGTGTTTTGGAAATAGATAAGTCAGAGCCCTGGAGTGGTTGGTTAAGCCTGGAAGAGAAAATTGTGCTTAAGAAATAGGCTGACAGAGCCGGGCGCAGGGGCACCCACCAAACCCCAGCTGCTCAGGAGGCTGAGGCAGGAGGACCTTGAATTCTAAGCCAGTTCTAGCAACTTGGCAAGACTCTATGCAATTCAGTGAGGCTCTGTCTCAAAATATAAAATAAAAAGGGCTGGGGATGAGGCTCAGTGGTCGGGAGCCCCTGGGTTCAATCCCTGGTACCAAAAACAAAACAAAACAAAACAAAACAAAAAACCCGAAAAAACAAAGAAATAGGCAAATAGATTTAGAGAGAGCAGATGGATTTCTTAGGGAACCCAAGATACTGAATCCAATCAATGGATTTGAAACCAGAGAACAGGGGAAAGAGCAGAAGAAATGGACAGAGGGACAAGGGCAGCAGGGGAAGAGCTCTGCTCTTGGACACAGAGTGGTCATGGGGACACCCAGGCTGGCTGGGAAGGGTAGCGCCTCCCATTACGATGGCTGCGGATGGGCTGAGGCAGACGGCAGGGGACAGCCAGCAGCATCCACAACCTGATGAGCGACACCCAGGACTTAGAGATGAACTGGAGCGCGGCTGGGCCAGGGGAGGTGAGGCCTCCAAGGGACTGGGCACCCCGGAGGTGGGGCCTGCGGCGCCTCTCACTCCAGCGCCACATGGGGTCCAGGTCAGGCTTCCCTGGCTCACGGACCTCACCACGCTTTATGCAAAGGCGACTCAGCTGCCCCAGACCGCAACTCTCACCCGAGTGGAGAGCGAGCCCGGAGCCGTGGGATGGGTGGTGCATTTGAACCGCCTTCTTCATTTCAAAGCACTTGATTCGCTGCCCGGGGGGAGGGAGGGACGGTGGGCGAGGGCTGGGCGCTGTGGAGTACAGAGGGTCGAAACCGTGGGGTCCACGGGTCCAGCCGTCGTCGTGGAAAACCCCACTCACTACTTGCTGCTTAGAAAATTCAGTCTTCACGAACTTCTTTCACCTCCAAATGTTAACAGTTGACACAAAATGCACTGTGAAACTGTAGAAAAATAGACGTGTTTTATAGGGACATTCTAACAAAAGTCCTTCGGGAGCGTCCTCCTCCAAAGACTCAGAGCTCACGTTATGAAAATGACGAGATTTGGTTCGAGTTCTGTGCCCAGCAACACTGACACCAAGACCGTGGGACACGGGAGGGACCTTCCCCCCGGTTGGGTGCCCTGGGGTCAGACCTGCGGGGAGACCCAGGGGTCCGCTCTTGCTTCAGTTGTGCTAAAGGTCAGGCAAGAAGGGACCAGGCCCCCGCTGGASAGTTTGTCCTTCGAACCTCAGTTCYGGATTCAAGAAGGTACTTCAAGAGCTAGATCAGCAGACGGGCCGCAGCCCTGGGCCGTTTTGTGCTACTGGCGCTGCCCCCAAAGCCCTGGACACTGAAGGTTGTGCCCAGGGCCGGGGGCGCCCATCCTAAGGCTCCAGCGAGGTCAGGTCCCTACCTCCCCACAGCCTCCAGAGAGCGCAGGAAGGGCACTGGCCGGCTCCTCCTGGCCGCCTCCTCCTTAGACCCTGTGGGATGAATAAAGGATTCAACAGACAATGGACGCCAAGGATGAGATGCTGGCACGCGGTGACAGCTGTGGTTTCTGCAGTCAGAGCCAAGAAGCCGTTGTCCTGATGCGTTCACCAGAGGGGCTGCCTTCCTTGTCTCTGGGGTGTCCTTTCTGGTAGAYAGGGTCCCTAAGTAGAGCAAAGGCCCGTGCCCCATGGTCGGGCAAGGCCAGGGGTCACAGAGGGACAGCCGTTTTGATCTCCTTGACCTCATAGCCCAAGGCCTCAAACCGCACAGCTGTAGGAGCTGAGAATAAACTTGGATCCACTCAATGAATATTTATGATGGGCCACCGTGTTGGAGAACAGACAGTTTGTAAATGCGAAATTAACGTGAAGGATCTTTTCAGTGCAAAATCTCCACCTGCCCCTGAAGTTTTGTCTGAGTCCTCTCCCTTCTCTATTATTTTCATTTTGAAATTTAGGTTTGCAGTACAAAACCACCCCCTCTTCCTTCCTCCCTCCCTCCCTTCTTCCCTTCCATCCATCCTTCCTTCCTTCCTTCCTTCTTTCATCTCTGCATGTTAAAATGAATTAAGGCTACGTTTTTTTTGGCTTTCTTTTCATTGACAGATGCTTTGGGTTTGATTTTTTAAAATAGTGGCACACCCCAGAGAGATGTCTTCGACAGTGACTAAAACTGTTGATCTAATCTTTGAATACTGAATACTGGTCACTTCGTAATTATAAAAGAAGACGAAAAAAAATCCCAATGCAAGAAGTGTGGATGGCTCAGCCCTCAGGACGGGCAAGATGCCCTCCTCCAGGCCAGGTGGCACCTGGCAGGGGAGCTCAGTGAGGACACTGTGTGCCACCCATCGTGGCCCTCCCTAGTTCCGTGGCTTCAGACCCAAGCCATCTTGCCCTAGAGTGCACGTTCTCCTAATTTCCTGTGGTTCTCATGATTACAGGGAGGATCAGCTGGATTCGCAGAAAAGTTCCCTCAGCAGTTGTATCCCACAGGGCGAGAGCTCACACAAAAAGCGTCAACACATCATTGTGACATGCTGGAGAAGGGGCCGTTCCAGGGAGTCTCTCCCTGGCTGGTTAGTGAGGCCCTTGTTCTCTTGAAGAAAATGACGCCTGTTTTGTAAACATGTCACAGTATATCAGCTTATTGGTGGTGGGTCTTCCCGTCTACTGGATCTCCCAACTGCCCCCGAACCTATGGCTTATTAGATTCAACAAAAGGATCAGCAAGGGAACAGAGAGGGACCCTAAGGGCTGCCTGTCTGGGACCCAGAACAAAGGCCATGCATTAAAGGGCCAGCAGTTCATGAAATCAAAATAGTTGGAAAACACAGATATCAAAAAGGAAATGCCTACTGTACATTGGGAATCTTTTTTTTCTTCTTATTTCTAAAGTTAGATATCTAAAACTACATTAATGATACATCTATATACATTATTTAATAGAAGTTCTGTTCTACAGTACTTTTGTACATGCTGGGCTTTATTACTAATTGCCAAAAGAAAAAAAATTACATAAGGCATATATATGTACAGTGGTTAGTCTTTAGCTCACCTGGGTCCTATACCTGCAGTGCCCKCACGGGCAAGCACCTTACCCTGTAGCAGATGAAATGTGTGGGATCTATAAAACTCAGGGCTGTACCCTATGACTCGCTGCGCAGTAGATAGGCACCGGAGACCTCGTTCGTCACATCCCAGGTAAAATCTTGGACACTCCCTTTAGAGTGATCTGGTATTGTTCGACACATGCAGGTTAGCAGCTCAAATCTCTAGGAGTTGAAGGTGGGTATTTTGAGAAGAGATCAAACCTGGGCCACACATATGGGCCCACGGCTCCTTAACCATCTGGTCTACCTTGTCAATCTGAACAGCTGAGAGAGGGCAGGTAGGGATTTTACACCTTGAAGACTTGTTTCCTGGTGATGTCAAAATTAAGTCTAAAGAACAAAGCCAGAGAGACCAAAAGAAAGAGGATGAGTGACGAGGAAAGGCCACGTCTGGGGCAGGAGGGAGGGGGGCCCAGCCAGGCGCTAAACTTTGGACTCGTTCTCTAGATTTGCCACGTCACCATTCCTTTCTGTTTGCTCCTCCTGATTCTTCTCTTCCTCCTCAGTCTCCAGTTCTGCATGTTGGTTGAGTTTGCTGGACACAGACCAACTCAGGGGCATCTCTGCCCTGCTGGCCAGCTCGGCCAGCTCTTTGGCACTAAGGGACGGGGTGCTGGTCTCGTAGGTCTCGTGGAAGCTGTTGTAGTCAACTTCGTAGAAGCCGTCCTCCAGCGTCAGGACGGGCGTGAACCGGTAACCCCACAGGATCTCACTGGTGATGTAGGAGCTTCGGGCTTGGCACGTCATCCCTGCGGAGAGGAGAAGGGAGGCTTTAGTGAGCTTTCCCAGGCCCAGGACGCTCAGTGAGCCGGGCAGGGCTGCCTGGGGTGGCCTTCAGGTGCACTGAGAGATGCACAAGGGGCCAACACCGTGGAGGTGTCATTCACCTTGTAGACACAGAGCCATGGAGGTTCCAGGACTCAGGGGACCACAGGTGCCTGCATGCCCTGTGCATTCCCACGGGAAAGCCACTGTGAGTGTGCACACAGGGGTGTATGTGTCTGTGACTCTGCCTTGTCCCCTCCCTCCTGAGGTCACGACTCTGGTCACCTGTGCTTTCAGAGGCTCTGCTTCAGCGCTAGTGGGACTTGAGTTCTTTGGTCACAGACCGAGAATGCAGTCTGGCTCATGGAACTAAACTTAGGTGGCCTCTGAGCTGGGGTCAGGGGCTAGGATGCCCCTCCCACTGTCATGACACCCAGGCCATGGCCTTGGCCTGGGCTGGAAGGGTGCACACCTGAATTTTTACTTTCCCTCGGCCACCAGGGAAATCTGCTCAGATAGTGCATCAGGAGTTTAAGGGCTCCCCCCTCTTCTTATTTGCACAAAATGCCATGTGAACTACCGACAGACCAGGAAAAGGGCTTTCAAATGTGACCTGACAGAGTGAAGGGCAACCCGGTATCTTATTGGAAAAACCAGGCCTGAGCTCTTTCATTAACATTCTTAGGAAACGGAAGCATTCATGTGGTCATTTGCTCGGGACCAAATTTCTGTTCGGCTCACAGATGCTATAAGGGGCTCACAAAATATTTTAATTTCCTTCAAAGTGTGGATTAAGAAAATGTAGAAGAAAATGTTACTATACTCACCTTTATACCAACACAGTTATAAAGTATAATCAAGACAACAGCTTTTCATTAGAGCAAGGGACCCACAAAGCAACACAACCAACGACTCACAACAGTCTTGCTGTGGACCTGAGTTCATTCAGGACAGCGGCTGGTCAGCTAGTCAGTATGTCATTTGTCAGGACAGCCCGTAACACGTATTAGGCTACTGCCTTGTGGTGGGGTAGGGGAAATGGAGACGTGTGAGGTTTATGCAGAAGAGTCAGGGCCACAAAATACTCCTGAGGCATTGCACTTTCTTCTTGTGTCTAGAAGAAGAGACTGGGATTTATGGGTATGGCTCAGCTGCAACTGTGAGGGCACCAGCTGTGGCCAGCACCAGCCCCGACTCCAGCTCTCTTCCTGCCCTTTTCCACTGGTCAGTCCCACAAAACCCCACCTGTAAAATGAGCCCTGCAGGGGCTGCTAGGTACAGAGAAGAGCAGATCAACACTGCCTTCCTGTTGTCTCCCAAGTGGTTTTTGAGTTCCTCCATGGTAGGGATATGTGGGCTCAGAATGAGGTACGAAAGGGAAACCAGGGGAAAGGATGCTAAACAACTTGATTTTCATAAAGGAAGTGTGTGCTTACAGCTCTACACAGGCACAGGGACTTCAGGAATATGTCAGAGTGCTTCAAAGCCCCCATGACCATCTTTCTGCAGATTTTCCTCTCACATTCTGATTACCCTGTGGCTTTCTCCAGATATTGTCACTGTCCCAGACAGACACAATATTAAACAATTACTGCTGATTGTTTCTGGCAATCACATAACATAATATAAAATATAATCTACCCAGACTTTCATTTCTGGCTGCATAAATAACCCAACAGAACTGGAAATAAATACAAATATTCAAATTAAAGTCTAAATGGAGTTTTACAGTAGTTGGAATTGGCTGAAGAGAGAATTAGAACTTTGGCAATGAGTGTGAAGGAGCTACACAGGATACAGTCAAGAGGATGCCATTAGAAATGTGAGATGAAAACTTTGGAAATCTCATTTCTTCATAAAGGAGATGAAAACACTGGCAAAAACTGACAAAATAAGTTAGAGTTCTGTAAGTTAACGCATGCACAGGGACTTCAGGAATATGTCAGAGTGTGGGACTGTGAACATGTCTGAGAAAGCCCTGAGAAAGCCCTGAGCTCACCTCTGGTTGGCCTTGAGGGTTGCACAAGCAGGAGGTGAAGGTTAAGGCAGAGTTGTAAAGTGCCTGCCTGAATGTTTCAGGTAGGCCTACTATGCATGCAGAGCCTTTTGACAAAGACTGAGAGACTTACGTGTTACAGGATTTTAAGGAAATTTTTGTCTAATCATTAGCTGGCCACTAAGTTAACTGAGCAGAGAGCTTAGTAACCATACACAAAAGAGTAAAAAAACTTACATAATTTCCTCTGAAAAGCCACTAAAAAATACACATTGTAACAACAACAAATCTTGAGAGGAAGGGGAATTTTTATTCTCAGGGTTGATACATTATATTATTTTCCACAAAAATTTATGAATGCAAAGAATGAAGAAAGTATGCCCCATACATAGAAAGAAAGTAGTCAAGGAAAACTGTCCCAGAGAAAAGTCCAGACTTTGGAGTCATTAGACAAAAACTTTAAATGAACTATTTAAAACATATCCAAAGGACTAAAGTAAGTCATGTTTTTTTTTTTTTTTTTAATGAAGGGAATTAGGAGAATGATGTCTCACCAAGTAGAGAATATCTTTAAAATACCAAAATTGATTTTCAGGTGAAAAGTACGATATATGAAAGAAAGCTTCACTGGAGAGACAGCATATTTGAGTTGTCAGAAGAAGGAATCAGTTAGCTTAAAGTTCAGTGAGTGCAATGAAGATTATCGAGGAACATAAAGAAAAAAGAATGAAGAAACAGAGACGGAGATACCAACATATGCATAATGGGAGTCTCAGAAGAAGAATACAGAGAGAAAGGAGAGGAAGAAATAATGGAAGATGTAATGGCTGAAAACCAGATCCAAGAAGCTAAACAAACTCTAAATAAGATGGACTCAAAGATATTCGAACCTAACACATCTTCATTAAACTGTTGGAGCATGATCATAAGGAGGGCATCCTGAAATCAGCAAGAGATAAGTAACTCATCACATAGAAGTGATCCTTGATAATCCTAACAGTTGATTTCTCATAAAACACTATGGAGGTGAGAAGGCGGTGGGAAGATACTTTTCAAAGCAAGCACTGAAAGAAAAAGACTGTCAACCCAAAACTTAATATCCGGCAAAATTCTTCTTCACCAATGATGGAGAAATTAACTCTCTCCACCAACAATAATGGAGAGAATCTGTGACTAGCCTGCTAGCCAGACTGCACTACAAGAACAATACATGAAGTCCTTCTGCGAGATGAAGGGATACCAGACAATAACTCAGGCCTCATCAAGGAACAACAAAGGCCTCATTGGTGAAGAGTGAACGGTGGGGAGCGCTCTCAGTCTCCTAGTCCTGGTCACACCCTGTGGCCCTGCAGGCTGGCCGGCCTCTGGTTTTGTTTTGCTTCCCTTTTATTACCGAACTTGTGTCTATTTCTGGTGTGCTGCACACAGGGTGTCTTGATACTGAGCCACGCTCATGAACGCCTCGGATTCACATGTCGCCCGCCTCCCTGGCCTTGGCCCCCGCTCCACGCAGGTACTTGACGCTGAGAGGAAGCCATGACTCAGGAGGAGCCCAGGGACGGCTTGCTGTCGCTCCCTGGTGACATTAGGGCTGCATTGCTAAACAAAAGGATGCCTTAGAAAAGAGCAGACTTCTGCCTCTGACTTGCACAGGAAGGACCCTCAGCTAGAGTTCAAGATGCTGGAAACCTCCAAAGCCACAGCTTGAATCACACCTGAGTTGGCGGAAAGCAGGAGCCAGGACTCCTGGTGCTGGGGAAGAGGCAGGACACCCGTGCTCCTTCCCCACTCATCACGACCGAGACCGCTGCACAGTCCAGAGAGCAGGTGCCCCGGAGGCTGGACAGTCCAGAGTGGCCGGAGGAGGGGGCCAGGAGCGAGCCCTGAAGACTGACCTGCCCAGGGGAATTCCTTGTCCCGCTTCCTCCCTCACCCCTGGCTTTCCAGTGGCCCCAGGGCCAGCGAGTACTGATGGCAGAGTCTCTCAGGAGACCCCCTCTCCCTGAGCAGAGCCAGGAGCAGGTGCTCTGGAGCCAGGGAACGGGTGGGGCTCCCTCTGCCAAGCGTGAGGCTCTGGCCCAGCCTGAGTCCAGCCTGTAACCAGTTGCTCCGCAGAGGCACCGAGTGCCCGAGGACGGTGGCTGACAGGAGTCCTGGCAAAGGGATCCTGTGGCTACGGGCTCCTCCTGCCTCTTCTCCCCAACAGTGACCCCAGTTGCCTGAGAACACACAGCAGCTCAGATGGCAAAAATGCTGAGAGACCTTGTCTTTATAGGGAGGAGGCTGAGAAAAGAGGGCCAGGGCCTGAAAAGGGCGGGAAACCCCACTGAGCAAGGACTGGAGAAGGGCGTTCCTGAGTCTCATCAGGAACTCCTCCAATCCTGAGCTTTGCACATGAAGGACAGAAAACAATCAGATGAACAGAAGCAATGACCTTGCATTTCATGACATAGTCACGCTTCCGGACGACCAAAGAAGCAGTAAAGGAAACTCAGTAACACTTAGAACTGAACAGCGCTGAAATTCTAAATGTCAAACTGTGGGTTATACATCAGGAAGACAAACTTATCGWCCTAAATGATAGTATTAGGAAAGGAGGAAATCTGAAAACTGATATGCAGGATGTCCAACTTAAGAAATCAGAAGAATAAACAACAGAATGAATCCCTGAGAAATAGGGAGTAAAGGTCAGTATATGAATTAGTAAAATAGGAAATGAACAATAGAGAAGGCCCAGAGAAGGAAAAGTGGGTAGTAGTGTGATGTTCTAGCTCTTAAAATAAGTGGTCAGATTTCAAATGTTTTATCATCATGCTCGTAACCTAACCTGTGTTGTGATCATTTTGTATTTATCACATACTGTTTTAAAAAATCACCAAATTCCATTCTCACTGGAACATTAGCTTGCCTCTGATCATGTGTGCAAGGGTCCTGTGGTTGATTCCATGGGCTCTGAATGGCTAAATGTTCATTTACTTGCGGGAGGAG